CATAATTGAATTCACAATAAAGGCAGTAGCCACCATAACTAAAAGGCCTTAGCATAAGCAAAAAAAAAAAAAAAAAAGTTCTTACTTATTTAAATACTTTAATATTAATATCTGTTTCTAGTAGTTTAGTTTTTATAATAAAATTATTAAAAATCTATACTATCTCTTTACTTAGATCTTCTTAAATAGACTTTTTGTTTTTTAATTTTAACAAATTTATACAATTATAAAGACTTATCTAATGTTTGTATTGCCTAATGTTAGTTTGCATTTCTTTGTGTAATCAATTGCATAGATATCTTATAACCTGCTAGTTATGCTAATATGACCACATTACAAATATTTTAACCCAATTATTAGAAACAGTTGTTATAATACAAATATTATATAGATACATATTTATTTAAATTTTGCTATCAATGAAATTTGAACATTCAATTTACTATTTAGAAGGTTGACAATTTATCTATTTCACTAAGTCACTACACTCCTATAACTTTATTAATAACTGTTATAATATATTACTATATTTTATAATATAATTATATATGTTTAAATATACATAACTAAAGATTTTTTTTAACTTTAAACAGTTATGCTAGTACTTTATTAAAATTCTTAAAATATATACATAATTATATAAAACTTTCTAATACTTAGGTAAAACATTACTTAGTTATTTTAATAGTACCTAAGTACAATCTGTTATACTATTTTTGTTAAAAATAAATTGATCATCTAACTAAAAGCCCAAACTGAAAGAATTTTTTTTTTCTGTAATAAGTATTAATATTGTCTTTATTGCTTCTTTCTTTATTTAATTGGTTTTTTTCTGTTTTTCTTGTTTGTTTTTCTTTATCAATTTTTTTCAATACAAGTTGAAATAATTTAAACAAGTATAATCTGGCATGGGTGTTGAAATATCAGCTTTATATTTTATACAATAGTGACATTAAATCAGATAAAATACTTATGTTCAAAAGACTCCACCAACGTGTTGATGGGATTATCATCTGAATAATCAAGTTCTTCTATATATTGACATCCTAATTCTAAAAGATTAGGAATACTTTCATGGTTATCTAATCCTATAGGTTCTTCAAAAAAGATTTGCCATCGTTGATAACGATTTCCTAGGATATTATACATTTCACGATCCGTGTTACCTTCTTGCGCAGACATTGCTAAATTAGGAAGATTTTGTGCCCAAAAAAGCAGGTGCCTATATAGTTCAGGCTTTGAAGGATCTGGTATATAACATCCTGTACCCAGAGAAAGTACAGAAATCTTTTCATTTGCCACCTTATATCTAATAGCTTCTCCATAAGCAGTTGACGCTGGGTTATTAAGATGTATTCCCCCATCTAAAAAGGTCCCCTTATTCCAAATATTATAAGGTGGAAAAAAAGTAGGTGCAGCTGTTGTGGCCATTAAGGTATCTACTAAAGTATTGTCATCTTCGCTATTTTTATAAGCATCATATCGGGTAAATAAATATGACATTGCTGAGTAAGTTTCATTTACGGCAGGAATAACCAATTCAGTAAGTGAATGACTTAATTTTGTCTCTTCAAAATATTTTTTAAACATAGTAGAACGACCTTCATTTGTATATTGATCAGATACATTGAAGAGGGTCCATGATCTTTTACTAAATAATTTTTTTGCATCGTTCTTGTAAATGTTCAATAATTCTGAAGCTGAAAGTCTTGGTTTTAAATCCGAATATTCGTATATTTTAGTGTATATTTGATCGTTAGAAACTTCATTTGGAATACTTCCGAATTTTTCGAATTGTGGTGCTGATAATCCTGCGGCAATGATTCCACCAGTCGATGTTCCAGCTATCATATTAAATAGGTGAGAAATGGGTCTATGAGTGCGGTATTCTATCTCACTAAGCCATAAAGCAGGTAATACTCCACGTATTCCTCCACCATCAATTGATAGAATATTATAGACAGGACGTTCGTTACTATGTGAATTTTTTAAATAATCTGCTTCATATATCAATTCACTTTTATAGCGATCAATGTGGTGTTTAACGGTATTTTCCACTTTCAATTTGTTAATAAGTTCTCTGTGTTTATCAGCAGGATTATTTTTAGGATCTATTGTCAGTGCTTCGGTATTACATACCATAGATTCTTTATATTTTGCTTGCTTAAAATAAGCTATACTACGAAAGTGCCAATATTCCGATAAACCATTTAATACAGGGCATGTATCAGAAAGTCCAATAACTTGGGTGTATTTAGATAATTTTAGTAAGCACCTTGCATATCCAAGGGAATAAGTCAATTCTTCAGGATCTACTTCACGCAAACTTTCATAGTTTTCTTGAGCGCATTGCCAATATCGTAAACTGGTTAATTTATTAATTTTAGCTTCTTTTTCAGCCAAATGTTCAAAATAAACTGCTTTATCATATTTATGTGTTTTCTCTGGGTTAAAAGATAGTTGATTATTCAAGTAATTAATGTATTTATCATCCAATTCCAGTGCTGATTCTGTTGTAACAGAATAAGTAATAAAAGATGTATCAGGTAGAACCTCTCCACTAATTATCCACAAGAAATCTTCCAATATTTCTAAACGTAATTGGGCTTTGCTAATAAATTGATAATTTTCTTTTATCGACTTTCGAACTTCGTCAACGATTTTGATGGCCTCTCTACATGCGTACAAATCATATTCTGTTATATTAAGAATTGCAATATTAATCCTTGCAATGTTACGTATTTCTTCAAGTCTTGAAAAAAAAGGCATTTCTAGGGAGTCATCTAGATATTCTAAAGCCAAATTTGTATTCTCTCTCGATAAAATAGAATCTAGAACTTTACCATAAGTGCTTTTAAAAAACCTCGTATAGTCCCCTTTACTAGTTTTTCGCAATTCACTAGTACAATTATCTAACTTTCTAGCTTCCTCTACAAGATCGTTGTTCAGTGCTTCTCGAAAAATTCTCTTCGCATGTGTCTTAAGATCTGCATGTGTGACACCTTCGATTATTATTTTTCCACTACCTAAGACCTCTCCAAGCAGAACAAGTAAATATGCAATGCCATCTGATCTGAAGCCATGCATTTTAAGCGTGCTTACTATATCATCTGTCCCTTTAATGCCGATTCCATCGCAACATTCTATGAGGCTTTTGTGACTCTTTTCATCATACTCTTCAGAAAGTGCATTTATAAACTCTTGATATTCTCCTTTATCATAGGAGCTTAACGCCTTAGTCATGATTTTATTGAGCTTTTCTCGAATTTTTGGCTCTTTTAACATCTTTGTGCCTTTTTTATACATACCCAAACCGCTATATATTCCAGCAGCAATAACGAATGCACCCACAACTAAAAAGGCCGGACCAGCTAATGACCTAATTCCAAATTCAAACGTAGCTTCACAAATATTTCCCAAGGCTGTAGAGACTACTACTCCTCCTCCTATTACACCACTTGCTATAGTCGCACCACCTTTAACTTTGTGCGAAGTTGCATGTTTTTTTGCACTTAAAATCTCATTATATGATGTTTGATAACAAACCAAACTACGATCTGCTTCAATAAATAATTTAGTAGCCATATTATTCAAATCTTTATTGATTGAATTCTGGATAATCTTTCTATGATTGAAAGAAATCTCTTGATCTTTTATTTTTACTAAAGCCATCACGTTATTAAAATCACTTTCTAATTTAATTTCAATATTCGAATTGGAGGTCATACACTCTTCTCTTTTATTCCTTTCTTTTCTACCATTAACTTTATCGAATAATTTTTTTGCTTCATTTAATTCTTGTTGCGTAACATTATGCGAATTCTGAATTTGCAAATGAATTGCCGCTAAAGCATATAGTGGAGCTTCTAAAAATTTGTTTGTGAAATATAAACACAGAGCCATATATCCTCGCAATTTTACTTGTTTTTTTAACAGTTTAGCTCTATCGGCAACTTTGCACGCTGCTCGATATTGATGGTAAGCTAATTCTCCCATATACATGCTATTGTGCTTTAACGCTTCTGGAGAAAGTTCATTGATTTCATCTTTTTTTAACACTTTCAATTTACTCCATTCTCCTTTTGACGCGTTATGATAATCAATAGTAAGTTTCCAAAGATCGTGACCATATTTTTCACAGTCGTCTATTTTATCTTCAGGTTCTGAGGATTGATTCAAATTATCCAATAAATGTTCTTTGAATTCTGAGATTAATTTAAATAGTTCATCTCCTTGAC